CCAGGAACACAACAGAACCAGGAGCAGCCAGGAACACAACAGAACCAGGAGCAGCCAGGAACACAACAGAACCAGGAGCAGCCAGGAACACAACAGAACCAGGAGCAGCCAGGAACACAACAGAACCAGGAGCAGCCAGGAACACAACAGAACCAGGAGCAGCCAGGAACACAACAGAACCAGGAGCAGCCAGGAACACAACAGAACCAGGAGCAGCCAGGAACACAACAGAACCAGGAGCAGCCAGGAACACAACAGAACCAGGAGCAGCCAGGAACACAACAGAACCAGGAGCAGCCAGGAACACAACAGAACCAGGAGCAGCCAGGAACACAACAGAACCAGGAGCAGCCAGGAACACAACAGAACCAGGAGCAGCCAGGAACACAACAGAACCAGGAGCAGCCAGGAACACAACAGAACCAGGAGCAGCCAGGAACACAACAGAACCAGGAGCAGCCAGGAACACAACAGAACCAGGAGCAGCCAGGAACACAACAGAACCAGGAGCAGCCAGGAACACAACAGAACCAGGAGCAGCCAGGAACACAACAGAACCAGGAGCAGCCAGGAACACAACAGAACCAGGAGCAGCCAGGAACACAACAGAACCAGGAGCAGCCAGGAACACAACATAAATGGGAGCAGCCAGGAACACAACTATCATAGAAGAAATCGTGACACGTCAAGGTGGGTTGCTACAGAGCTGGACTATGGTGCCATGATGTCTCCACTGCATTACCTTAGAGATATAAGGTAGAGGAGACTCGGCACGCCAGACTCCACCTACAACTGCACATATACATCTTCAATCGTGTGTTTAGATGTCTGCCTACAGGTCAGGATTAAAGTAGATGAAAGCTCTAAATGACTGACCAGTTTATAAATCACCCCCTAAATGTCATTTATTTAAGGTTTAGATTTTATTATTAAAAGAAATGACAGCTGTTTATGATACGCGGGGCTTTAGCAAACTTAGGGGGGTGATTTATATACCGTTCGCATAGCGATGCTCCACCTAGTGGCCGTTATGTGCTGCGAATCTTGTCGCATAGCTGTTTGCTATGTGAGCTCTTTATAAATCACCCCACTAAGTTTGCTAAAGCACTCACAACTGTCATTTCTTTTTTTTTTTATATAAAATCTTTATTTACACCGCTTCTTCATCCTTTGTTACATCTCAGTACAGCGTATCTCCTGCAGCCTCCTTGCAGCCACCTTCTGTCTACATGCAATCTAGCAATGGCTGCATGGCATGTGTTGAATGGGCCACTGGCAGTCTCCATCAGAAGTCTGTGCTACATGCAGGAGACGGGGACCGAGAGTTGTTACCCTCTGACCCCTGAACAAGGACCTTCCTGGCAGGGTCACTGGCTATTATATTAATGAAAGCCTACTTTAAAGGAGAACTATGGGGTTAGGGCATCTCCGCATAGTTCTCCTTAGGGTAACGGGAGGACACAAACTAGCGTCCTCCCTTCATCCTAGGCTGTAGCTCGCGCTATACTGAGGCGCCGCAGCTGAAGCGGATCCCGACAATTGTTCCGGGATCCGCCCAGCTGCGTGAGTGACACGGGGTCTATCTGGTCCCGATGCAGCATGCCAAACTGCTCGAACAGCCTGCTAGAAAACAACACCTGCCAACTGCTGCCGCTTGTGGTTCTTCAGCATAGTTGGGAGGGTGCAATGAGAAGATGGGATCTGTAGCCCATCAACTGACAGCTGCACACATCACGTGCAAAGAGCTCTTGGCTTTGGGATTCTTTTCCATCTAAAAGTGAATTGAGCATGCTGAGACTTCTAGTCCCTCCAAAGGAAGGTCCTGCAGAGTGACGTGCATTTTACAATAGTGCAGTACGGCATTCAGGAAACACAGATGTGCCCTTTTGCACACAAAAAAAGCTGAGCCTTCTAGTCCTCCAACAGCTGCTCACGAACCCCAGTCCCCTTTTATACAATGCCCCAAATGTGATCATTATTTGTAACCTCGTTTAAAAGTAAAAGCAATTGCAGATCGGCCCACAAAAGCGGCATTTAAAGGGCATTTACAAAAATCAGCTCTCGATTCTTACAGCAGTACAGCCATCACGGTTAATGGAGACATGACGGTGACCAGTAACCCATAGCAACAATCATATTATTCATTGGATCAGCGTAGAAGTCAGATCAATAAGTGTCTATTCATATCCTGTAAATATATTAATTAGAGAGAGCGCATGAGAGAGAGAGAGAGAGAGAGAGTGCTGCCTGATTACCTATGTACCCAAAGCTGTTACAGCTTTGGGAACATAGCTGTAGGGGAGGCAATAGGGGCAGCTGCCAAAGGTGCAAATAAAAATGAGGAGGTGCAATATAACAGACAAAGAAAAAACATAATTTAAAACCCAATCAAATAAGTTCTCAGCAATTGTTAAATTTTACAGCAATTGCCATTGTTGTGGGAGTACGCACGCGAAAAGGAACAATAAGCATGGATAATATTTTACATTACATAAGTATTGTATTCCTCAACTAAAGCCGGTAGCAAAGTCCCAATTTATTGTATTACAAACCTCTGCAAATTTCTAGGACTATAAATGTTCCAGAATCGTCGCACGACCATAGAAACTATGAAAAATGAATCAATATTTATAAGTGTATCAATTTAAATGAATGCATGAATAAAATACAAATTCAGCTGTTAAAAATCCATCAGCATTGAAATTGCTACATTAATAAATATTGATGTATCTTTATCAGCTGATACGGTCGTGCGACTACTCTGGCACCTTTAGGCTATGTTCACACCTGCACTACACCCGGGCCGCGCGATCGTGTACTAGTGCACACAGTGATAGCCCCGCTGCCCCATTGATTTCAATGGGGTGACATCCGCGCAGCAATTGCTAACAAAAAGTACCTTTTTTTGCGACACGCGACTTGCGGCTTTTTTTCGTGTGCACCTGCACGGGCGGAATTGCCGCGTGATCAGCCCAGCGCGACTGGGGTGCCATTAGAAAATAATGGCACCCGCAGCGCGATCAGTTCACACCTTGGCGACTCCTGACCGTGCGGAATCGTGCACGATTGCTGCGTGGTGAGGTGTCGCCTAGGTGTGAACCTAGCCTTAGGTGTCACCTAGCTGTTGAGCCGTTTTCGTGCGGCGCTCGCGCGATTTTGTTTTGAAAACCGCGGGGTTGTCAATGCATACAGATGCCTATGACACCCAAACCGCGTGACATCCGCCCCCCCCCGAAAATAGCTCCTGCACCCTTTTTTTTTTGCGCGACGGGGCGATTTCTACGTGTATAGATGTCACCAGCAGTCCAAATATGACAGAATACGTCAAACTTTTAGTGAATCTTCGTTTTTATTTTTGAAGTCACTCCTACGACGCGGCAAATCGCAAAAGTGTGAGCGGCTTCCGTAGACTTAAATGAAAATCTCTGTTTTGTGCGATATCGCCGCGTGGCAAAATCCGCCTCCAGCCTCAAAGTCCTAGCGATTTGTGCGGTTTTGTAAGGCTAGGTTCACACCTAGCCTATTCAGATGCTGAGCTGTTTTCGTGCGATTGTCGCTGAAAACCACGCGGTCGTCGCTGCGCAGAGATGTCTACGGGATCCAAACCCCGCAAAACAACCGCACCGAAAATAGCTCCCGCACCTTTCCGCGCGACGTGGCGATTTCGGTTCGCGCGACAAACCGCAAAGATGTGAACAGCCTCCATTGACTTCAATGAGAATCTGTGTTTTGCGCGATATCTCACCTAGGTGTGCACGGCCCTCAATGTGACAGCAAAACTGAGAGTGAGCTGATTATTTATTCGCCAGGACTCTATCCCTCTTCCTTTTTATATTTTCCCCCCCAAAAAAGTCAACAAAATCTAAAAATAATTCCCAAAAGCTTTCACAACGATAGATGAGCCCAAAGGGACCTCTCAGTCCTTGTTATCATCCTCCAAAAACAATCCTCATCAGAGATAGGTGCGCGCCAGTATATCAGGATTTAATCGCACTCAGTCATTTGTAATCACAGCCCAGAGCCGATTCGCTAACAGCCCTTTTGTCTGTTTTAATTATTAGCAATGAATGGGAGATAGAAGCTCATTTTTTTGGAGGCTTTTAGGACAAAGGATTGGGTTGCAGCCACCGGGGATGGTGGGGGTATGATAGGACAAAGGGACTGAACACGTGCACGGCGCAGCAGTGTCAGGCTCCTGGCACAGAGTGGAGTCTGGGAAGTTGGTGTTAATTGCACCGGCTAAAATGTGATTAAGAGGGTAATGACTGAGAGGTAGTCAAAAAACACGCTGGAAGTGCATTAATATGCATGTCACTCCGCATAGAAAATACAAGCTCCGCATTCTCCATACATAGAGCCTTCAAGACAACTAATACGGTTTAATCTGGTACCGGCGGTTTACTTGGCAAGGGGCGAACCCTGTTTATTGGACTGCAGAACTATAAGGGTCTTCCCCCACATTCTACTACAAGGTGACGCCCCCTACAGGCGGAACCCCCCCCTCACCGCGCCACCCATGTGCCAGCCCGGAGTAAAGGACCTGACCTTTGTAACAGCCCAAACTTCCCCACCTCAACATTGAGCTTTGGGCCAATTGGGTCTGCACCCTCGTTGTGTGCCCGTAGGTATGAGATGCATTTAAAAAGGTATGACATAGAGCAAGGATGGCATGCAGATTGCAATGACCCCGGAACAATGGCACGCTGAGGCTGGTCGGTCGCAATGGGCAAAATTAAATTGCATGTTGCTCTTCGTTCAATAACAGCCTTCCGTACCAGCTCGCCATTTGATCTGACTGTAATTTATTGGGCAACTCCATTCATTCCTTTAAATGGGACTCCGTCTCACCTAGGAAGCCTGAAGCAGGTACTTTTGCTGGGGAAGGTGTAGCAAATTGCCGGGGTCCCTGTACACTCTGTCTTCCATGTCATCAACTGTGATTTAACCCATGCAACCCCCAAAACCCACCCACCACCCACCAGACACCCTTGTGTTCTTACCAAGGGCTGGGTGCGCTGTGGATGCTGGAGATCGGTACCCTGCCGGAGAAGATGTGGGGAATTGCCAGGCTCCCTGCTCACTCCCTCTTCTCTGTGCTCAGCTTCCCAGCTCGCATCCTTTTATGTGGCGCTCTTCTTTGTTTTGATGCAGGCTGCTACCATTGATATGAATGATAGAGGGGGACGAGGCTGCCTCCTCCTGCTCCTTGGCGGCATCTGTAAGAGAAGAAGGATTCCCAGGCACTCGTCTTTGCAATCTCCCGCACACTGGCAAGAGGATGCTGTGACACATGTGCACGGGCAATGGCTTGCAGCTGTGCTTCCCTCCCTTCGCTTTTCAGCTCTTGGTACAAACCCTGCTGCTATATATTCTGCTGCTAGAGCCACAGCTGGCACAAGAGTCTGGGATGGACCAGGAATTGCAGGGTATGTAGAAAGGAGATGGTAGGGGGGTCTTTGATCACAGCAACCCCCATACCCTGCATGGGCACAGAGCCCAGGCTGGGGGAGGGGGGGACATAAGAATCTGGCGGCCTTTCTTCTTCATCAGAGGCACAAAGTCTGTGAAGAACACACAGCGTCAGTTCAGGGACAACCGGTGCTTCTGTGTCTTATGTTTCATCTTCACATGGATCTGCGAGTGTCAATCACCTCGCTCATTGTCTGCCCTGATCAATAAATAATCATTTTACTATCAGGCTCAAATAATTGTATATGAATAGAGAGCGTGCGTTTTATAGCGCAAGCCAGAAAAGTAACAATATTTCTTTTTCCAAAGAACAGCCCCATAAAGTATACATAAACATCAATAGCCATCGTAGCATAAGCAATTTAGTAGTGTTCATAATAATAATAATAATATTAGTACCGTGTTTCCCCAAAAATAAGACACTGTCTTATATTTTTTTTGGCTCAAAAAAACACACTAGGTCTTATTTTTTTTTTTTTTTTTTATGTACAAAAATGTACACTTATTCATGTAGAAAAGTCTACATGTATTCATGTACATAAATAGGGTGATCAGGGCAATCAGGGGCCGTACCTTTCCAAGAGCAATTTGCTAACCAATCGCTGGCCAGAATGAGCGAAGCGCACTTTTACTATGGATTCTTCACAGGCGGAGAGCATTTGGTATCACTCCGCCTGTGACAGGAGCCGGCTCTATTGAGGAGGCATCGGCTTATGCGGCTCTGCTCCCTCCGGTGCCGCCTCGCTTCCTCTACTGCTGCCTTCGTTGGCACCGCTGATTCTCTCCCGCGGCTCTTCAAGTTCCCCCTTATGCCACCACCGGCCCTGGGAATAGTCACAACTAGGTCTTATTTTCGGGGTAGGTCTTATATTTTAGCAATTCCCAAAAATATTACTAGGTCTTATTTTCAGGGTAGGTTTTATTTTCGGGGAAACGGGGTAGTAGTATTTTTTTTTGAAAAAAGAACCCCAAAAAATACAACAACAATTACAATAAAAACAAAAATATATTAGTAGTAGTGGTAGTAGTAGTGGTGGTAGAAGTAGTAATGGTGGTGGTAGAAGTAGTAGTAGTAATGGTGGTGGTAGAAGTAGTAGTAGTAATGATGGTGGTAGAAGTAGTAGTGGTGGTGGTAGAGGTAGTGGTAGTAGAGGTAGTAACAGTTGTAGTAGTGGTGGTAGAAGTAGTAGTGGTAGAGGTAGCAGTAGTAGTAGTGGTGGTAGAGGTAGTAGTAGTAGTGGTGGTAGTAGAGGTAGTAACAGTAGTAGTAGTAGAAGTCATAGTAGTAGTGGTGGTAGTTGAAGTAGTAGTAGTGGAGGTAGTAGTAGTAGAGGTAGTAACAGTAGTAGTAGTGGTGGTGGTAGAAGTAGTAGTGGAGGTAGTAGTAGTAGAGGTAGTTACAGAAGTAGTAGTGGTGGTGGTAGAAGTAGTAGTAGTGGAGGTAGTAGTAGTAGAGGTAGTAGCAGTGGTAGATGTAGTAGTGGTGGTGGTGGTAGTAGTAGTGGTAGAAGTAGTAGTGGAGGGAGTAGTAGTAGAGGTAGTAACAGAAGTAGTAGTGGTGGTGGTAGAAGTAGTAGTAGTGGAGGTAGTAGTAATAGAGGTAGTAACAGTAGTAGTAGTGGAGGTAGTAGTAGTAGAGGTAGTAAAAGTAGTAGTAGTGGTGGTAGTAGTAGAAGAAGTAGTAGTGGTGGCAGAAGTAGTAGTAGTGGATGTAGTAACAGAAGTAGTAGTGGTGGTGGTAGAAGTAGTAGTAGTAGAGGTAGTAAAAGTAGTAGTAGTGGTGGTAGAAGTAGTAGTGGTGGTGGTAGTAGTAGTAGTAGTAGAAGAAGAAGTAGTAGTGGTGGCAGAAGCAGTAGTAGTGGAGGTAGTAACAGAAGTAGTAGTGGTGGTGGTAGAAGTAGTAGTAGTGGAGGTAGTATTAGTAGAGGTAGTAACAGTAGTAGTAGTAGTGGTGGTGGTAGAAGTAGTAGTAGTTGAGGTAGTAACAGTAGTAGTAGTGGTGGTGGTAGTAGTAGTAGAGGTAGTAAAAGTAGTAGTAGTGGTGGTAGAAGTAGTAGTAGTGGTGGTGGTAGTAGTAGTAGAAGAAGTAGTAGTGGTGGCAGAAGTAGTAGTAGTAGGTTTTATTAAACAACCCAAAAAGTATACATAAATAACAGCAGCCATAGTAGTAGAAACAAATGATGATGATAATTATTGATTGATTGATGATGATGATGAATATGTGTTTTCATAGAACAACCCCCAAAACGTATACATAAACAACAATCGAGACAATATCATTCATATTATTATGATTATTATGATTGTGTGTTTTTATAGAACAACCTATAAAAGTATACACAATAACAGCCATTGTAAGATATTATTATTAAATGTAAAATTACGCATAGATTAGAATAGAATAAATGGCTGTGATTACTATTGTTACTATTGCTGTTGTTGCTTGTTGTTTTTCTGAAATCTAAAGCATAGTAAATGTTCAGAAAGCTTCCGCCATAAAATATCACCCAAAACTCACAATAATCAGATAAACACAGAAAAGTTTTGGTTAGGGAGACCATTCGGCCTCTCTCTGCCGCCATTGTTCTTTGACAGACGGATGATGATTGATGGGGCAGAGAGACGATCAATGAAAGTCAGTTTTCTGTATTTACTCGCATTGTTTATCAATATATTGCTGACACTTTCCTGCAGCCGGATGTCTGGACAGACCACATAGGCCGTGGCCTCGCACGTGGTCCTCTGACCGGCTTATGTGTAATAAAAGTTTGCAGACTGCCCTCCTGCCCGTTAGTGGTTGAGTCATCATTTAAAGGGCCATGGCACACTAGAGAGCCTGTTGGTGCCAACAACTCGCCAACAGCAGGATTGCTATACAGGTCAGTGAACCTCTCACCAGTCGCTCCCTTCCTGGCCGGATCGAGGCTTCGCTCCCTCATTGCCAAGTGACATTCTGCAGCATTTGCATCTACAAGGGAGAGATTCCTCAGCAAGGGATCCGCACATGAAAACAGATGAGGATTTCCTATGCATTTCTTGGTGATCCTGGAGCTGGTGAGTTGTCACCAGAGACAGGACCGCCGGTTTGCCATGTGCCTTATTGCCCCTGATTGCCCATCAGAGGCAAAGAGCACAGGAATTATCAGCTCGCAGGATTTCCAGCAGGATCCCCAGGTTTGCTTGGCACTCATTGAACAGATAGAGCAGAAAGCTTCCCATGGTATATTTAAAAGAACAAAAGGGAGCAAGTGAAGTCCATTGTCAAGGTTTACATGAACTTTAAGCCTGATGTGAATGCAACTTATGGGAACGTCACTATGAAACTTATTTAGGGTTTAGGATGTGGATATCCAGCAGAATCCTAGTTCAGCTTCATGGCTTTGAAGCTCGGCTCTTATAAATGTAGGGACCTGGCCAAGACTGGAATGTCCTGAATTAAATTTACTGTGTTTTGAAGCTAGGCTGTAATCAGCCTGATCCCTTTTTTTAGGCTCTTCTGGTTCTCCTAACCTCAATATGTTTGTTGCTTCTGTTGGTGACTGTTGAAGAGGTTCCAGTAATCAGTGTGGGGAGAACAATGCTTGAGTTATTGTATCTGAAAATGTATCTGACCCAACTAATCCCTACGGTCTTTGTCTGGTGGTATGCTAGGGGAGGTGAGAAATGCTAGGAGCATTTTCCCAGAGTGTTCTTCACCTCCTGGGCCTTTGCCTGGAAGGAATATGCTTATACACTGAGTGGCCAGATTATTATGACCACCCCATCATCAGTACTTCGTTGGGCCGCCTCGTGACTCCACGAGATGATGAAAGGTGATGCGAGGAATCTGACACGGCACTGTTGCCCTTCTGTTGTCTTGTACCAGTCTTGCCCCTCCCCCGTTTTGCCCCAACATTGACTAGTCGCTGACGGCCACAATTGGCACGTTCAGACCCAGATTTTCGGCTGACAGTCCGGTCTTTAAACACTTTAACAACAGCTGCTCTTGAACATTTAACGAATTCTGCTGTTTTGCTGATACTCGCTCCATGGCTCCGAGCGCCAACAATCATCCCGCGTTCAAAGGCTGTTAAATCGCGTTGTTTCCCCGTATCTTCAGAAATCACTTCTACTGTCGTGGTAAACAACCCGCTTCCCTATTTATAATGGTCTGGCCCTCTAGCAACTTCAGCGCCAAATTATAGCTCATTTGCCTACAAACGTCAGGTGGTCATAATAATCTGGCCGCTCAGTGTAGATGTTTAGAGTGTCTCAGTACTTGGGCCTCGCCTAAGCCAAGGATGTAATCCCAAAGAATTTAGCTACCCTTAGTGTGTATCTGAAAGGAGCATTTCTAAAGAATCTTCTTGCTGTGAAGAGTGTTGCAGAGGAGCTCGGTGGAAACTACTGCTGGACATTGTAAGAAGGTCCATCTATCAAAGTATCTTTGCTGGCTGTCAGGAGGGTCAAGGGCCTGATTTATTAAAGAGAGATCCACTTGACCGTGACTGCTCTTACAGGGTCATAGATCTGTCTGGTTGCTCTTACAGGGCCATCAATTACCAAGAGGCTGCTATCAAAAGGCCTGCTACTTTCCAAAGATCTGTTCTGTTCTTGAGCTCTTT